GGGATCTTATCTTTTTTTCCATTGAAGTGAACCGTACAAGAAATGAAAACAGTGTAGAACTTGAAAATATGTTTGATAGATCGAGCGACGAATGCGAGAGAGAGCGATTTACGGATCGGGAGGTCTGTAGATCAGTCGCACCTAGCCTAACCTTTCTCCACGAGGAACGAATGGAGCGTTCGATTCTTTTCCTTTCGCTCGTACCTCGAGAATCAAAGAAAAAGGCAAAAGGGAACTTGAGAGAAAGGTGAAACAATACCTAAGAGACCGATTGCCTCTCGCTGCCAACTTCTAACACTTTATTTTTCCTCAATCTTCGTATACGATCCTTTAACAAGAATTTCATTCGTTTTTATCCCGCTAGGCGTCACTCGGTCCGTTTCTCAGGTCGAGTGATTAATTCACGTTATATCACGATAGATGGCGCCACTGCGCTATTCCTACTCTTCCTTTTTTCGTTCACGCTTCTACGCGATTACAAACCGATACTCGAATTACGGAGCGATCAATTTTTCACGTTTCCATGATGCGTTTCGTTTGACGTGGTGCAACGTACCGAGTGCTCTCTCTCTCTCTCTCTCTCTCTCTCTCTCTCTCTCTCTCTCTCTCTTTTTTCCTCTTTTGAAATTCACGAATATCCTCCTATCAGTCAAATATACACGTATACGTCTATACGACTATCGGCAAATCGATTATGCCAGCTACATATATAGAACGTACGTCATTCATTTGAAATGGCGTTACGTAACCAGCGTCCCAATTCGAGTGCATTTAGAAGAGACTTCCAGCTGCGTCTAGGATAAATGAAATCTTTTCAGGACTTGAGTTAACGCAGATACAGACTAAGAGAGAGAGAGAGAGAGAGAGAGAGAGAGAGAGAGAGAGAGAGAGAGAAGAGAGAGGACTTTGACAGTTCGCGGGCATTGATTGTCGCTGCCCTCAATCTTTCTTCCCTAATGATCTCAGTTCTCAATTTGCCAGTAATCGATATCGAATGAATTATCCCTTTGATAATCGAACGAATGAGACGCCGCGGGCATTTTGAAATTTCCCTCTCTCTCTTTCCCCCATTCTCTCTCATCCGTCAAAACGCTATAACCTAACCTTAATTCATCTATCTGAATACCCATAACAGACTGCTGGACCCCTATTAGGATTTCGTTGTGTTGACATTAGGTAAGTTTTTGCTCGTTATATTATCTTTTTCCCCTCTACCCCCCAGCCCCCCAGACCCCCAGGCCCGTGATCTTCCCATCCCGCAGTATCATGCCTGTGTGTCTGTCGGTACCACCTGTTCTTCAATTGTATACCTATACACAGTTAACAAGGGCTGATAGCAAAGGGCTTTGGCTCGTTATCACAGCGTGGATCCATTCGGCTTAGCCGAGCGTGAGCTACCGAAATTCGCTTGAGAGTTTACACGGGCTAAGTGGTAACTGGATATTCAGTGGCAGACATTCACCTCTTCCTAATTGAATAGTAGGCAGTCCAGGGGTTAAGGGTGCCCCTGCAAAAAGTCATTGGGATCCAAACAGCGATGCAAGAACGGGCTCAAATTTTACATGCTAGAAAGATCAAGTCTTGATATTTACTTCATTCATCCTTTTTTTTTTTTTTTTATTTTTCTCAAACAAACAAACGGGACCCTCAAAGCCATTCCTATTGATCGCCGTTTAATTTTCCCACATTTATCATTAATATAACGTTCGCTATCATTTCCAGAACTTGCCTTACGTACCGAGTAATCTTCATCGTGAACCGTATTAAGATACCTATACATATACAACATGCCTCTTTAGGCTGTACGAAAGTCATCCTTTCGATTTCCCCAGAGTCTGGGCTAATAGCTACTCGAATGTCATTTATCGTCCTCCATTAATTAATTAAGCTCAAATTTGCAATCCCACGAGGCGAGATCGATTCACGTCTTATCAGCTGCCCGTCTTACGTATCAGCGACTAAGACCGGAACCTCCTCGAAGGAGCCAAGTAGTTTCCCAGTTGCGGTTTATCAAAGGATTTCAAGCCAATACGAGCGTAATAAGCATGCAGGCTATCAAGGTATAAGCCAGCGTTGAGTTTCCCTATGAAACACATGGAGGTATCACGTTGAAGGATATCCAAAAAAAAGGCATCTTATCAATTGACGTTTTTAGCTAAAAGTTAATTTTCTAAAATCAGTAGCCCCGCACTACCCCCGCCACTGTACAGCAAATACCGAACCTAATAAATCCCAGCAGCTAAAGAGGCAGCATTAGTTCGCAAAGCAAATCTCCCACGCAGCTTTTGGCCGCAAGTGATTTTTGGGTTTCCACCAAAAGAGGTTAGGGAGGCGCATTTCTCCTGTGAATGGAGAACCGGGAGTCTTTGTTTATCGGCACCGTCGCCAGGCGTAAGAAGAGGCGAAGTATTTCACGGCCTGAATGTAACCCCTCGCGCGATTCCGACTTCGAAGTGTAAAACCGGCACGATTCGAGCTGCGCAATTTGTATCTATTCTTCGCGGCTGCCGCCTTCCTATTCTTCGCTTTGCGTACTTTACGAGGGTTGACGCTTCCTATCTGTATGGATCGCCATTGTGCTTCGCCACTGGTTCGTGTTGCCTGCAAAAGTCCTTTTTTGCATTGCGCCTTTAGACAGCCTCGTTTATACTCACTGTGTTTCCACGTATCTAGATACATCCTGCACTATCCATGCAGCACATGTGTAACTGTGTATACTGTACTCATTAAGTTTATCACTGTGTTTGGGATCGATATTCCAATCATACTCGTAGTCATCCTGATGATCATTCACGACTGTAGCGACGCTCTAGATACACCTTGTATATATGTATATGTATTTATAAGCTTGAAAAAGCATTGTACGGATACTACGCGTATACGTTCTACGTACAATCTCAACAGGAAATTTAAGCTCGACGTGACGTCATTTCGAATTGAGATTTAAAATTCGTTTCGGATAAATGTTGGTAATCTTGTAATTTATTCACTGTATGCTTATGGTTTAGTCGTTTTTATTTGATTTAGCGATTAGTATGTGTATCATGAAATTTTTTACCCGATAGGCATATTCTCCCTCCGTGTGTAATTTTCATCAATTTCAGTTGACGTTCGCCAGGGCAATCGTGATTGTCGAGGAGTTAATTTACTCCGTCGATGCTATTCTTGATATCCCAACAAACAGTACTGACTGTGCTCCTATTAACAGTAAACAGTATCGATTGTAAATTACTGAAACGTATTGTACGAGTATTGTATATTTGAAAACATATTTTCACTGCACCTATATACGTGGGCGGATATGAAAAATCTAATTTTTACCGGAGTGCTCGGAGCATTGAGAGTAAACATTTGTAAATACCGAGAAAATGGCAGTGTATGCGTAAAGTCGAGAGATCGAAAAAACAAAAGTACGAGTATTTATATCCGTAGAATTTTTTGATATCGGCCAAAGCATCGAACTTCGCTTGGAATCAGTTGAGGAATTAACGTGTAAATTTATAGGGATTGAAAGTTCGATCTTTTTTTTTTTTTTTTTTTTTTTTTTTTTTTTTTTTTTTTTTTTTTTTTTTTTTTTTTTCTTCAGCGAGCCGTGTATGATAATTTTATTAGGGAAAATTTGTTATCGTCCAATAAAGGACATTTAAACTCCACTCGTAAAGTGTAATTGTAATATTGTATTTGAGGTTATAATTGGGGGAGTAGTTCGATTGACGGCTGTCAATTTTTTATATTTGTTACCTGTCACACGTCTCTCTTGTCAAACGGACTCGACAGTTTTGACTTGCTTGCAAAAAAAGGACCTGCTGTTCGATGGACGGTACTTCGTCCTTGTGAATCGTAATCGATCAAAACTCTTCTACGTGCTTGGTTACGGTATCGAGTTCGTTTCAATTTGTCGAAATTCGGCGATCCAAGTGTCACTCTGTAGGTATTTACAGTGAATTCCAGGCGATTGGACGTGTTCACCGTTGACTCACTCTACAAGCTCTCTTGGAAGCTCTTGGAAGCTCTTGGTGCGACAGTTGACGCCATAGTGGCGAATCGTGTATTGACTACCGCACTGTAACGTATCTTTGGCATGTAAGCACATGGCGGCCATTGTCATTTCAGGATCCGTAAATGGGTGTCTGGTATCTCGTGAGATACACCCGTGACTCTGTTCGCCATTGAGCTCGCATGTCTCCCAGGAATTGGATGGACTTTTGACTAGTTTTAAATCGTCGATGCGAATCAACGGTTCTTTCGAAATTCAAAGCGTAATGAGAATTTATGAAGGAAAAAAAAAAACGGAAAAAATACAAGAGGATCGATTTCGCATTGTTAGACGTAACACTTTTCTTAATGCTTCTATTTTTCCCTTTCCATTCGCGTCTTTCGTGCATTCACGTCATGTTTCAAATATTTTGTCCATTGTTCCGATTCCGCTGTTCCTTCTTTCTTGTTCCGTCCTTCTCCCCGTTCCTTCCCGCTACCACCCCTCTCTCGCCCGTGGAACCTCTTCATTTGCGGAACAGGCGCAAATGCAGTCAGTTGGTCCACTCGAATAAAAACCCTGCAACGCAGTCAAGTCTCTGTGTCGTTCATGAAAGTGCGCCTTTTCCTCTAGTTATTTAAATGGACAATGCTCAGAGAACCTTATACGAGCGGGTTAAAAATAAAATTTTCCTATTTTTTAAATTTTATTCCTGTTTACCTGGCATTACACACATTTCCATAGCCGTGCAAGGGACGTCTGTCTATGAATCTCAATGTGTTGTATAGGCTAGGGTGGGATTGCTTGACAAACTGCGCTCCCGGCTCGATTCGTCGAGGCCTTTGACCTAGGGATTTTCTGCAGTTAAATAAAACAGGGAACGTTGCCATTCAAAACAAAGGCGAAAGCACTGTGGAGTTCAAAGATTACTAGGACTCCCGTTACAGGTCACATTTAATCTTTAGGAATAAAAATTTAATCTTTACCGTCGTACGTGACTTAACTTTTTTTTTTATCCTTGCAGAAGCTGTTGGTGAGGCAAGTTACCGATGACGTAGTGGACATGAATTGGTCGTCCAGATGGTCGCCATTGTGGGTTCTGATTTTTATTCTTCTCAAATGTGGTGAGTTTTTCAGCCTTTTTTTTTTTTTAAATTTCTATACTATTTTTACATACAGTTATACCTTTCTTCGTTAACGTTTGCTACGTGACACCTGTCTAGTGATATCTATTTAAGTTCCAACTAGAACCCGCATGCTAGGGACTTTATCGTTATACATACCAGCTTTAACCTTACTCGGATTATTACGATTCCACCTACTTCAATGACAGAGGATCATTCTCTTCATGAATCATTCGAAAACTAATCCCAGCGTGGCGCCGTTGCGCTGCCTTTTGAATAGAGACGTTGATTTTCTTCTGGTGATATATAGCATTTGACCTACTTCTCAATTCTCCCTAGTAACTTATTGCGCAACACTCGCGGAGTCTCGTAAACCGCTGCAATCCCCATGTTCTGGACGTATCGTTCGTAGAAACGTTAATTCAAACAACAAAGAAAATACGTTCACGATATACGTGTATAAGGATATCCACTTTATATCGAAGAGGACAATTTGTCTCGATAACAGCCTGTCAGATCCTCACTATTTATATATATATACAGACGAATATCACTATAGAAAAATAGTCGATCAAGTCCAAGAAAAATATCTTGCAGTCCGACCAGCTATCGCCTGGGTATTTCTTGGTTCAAGCAAAAAGAAAAGGCTTGTATTATTTATACGATAGAAAGCAACGATAGTATATCTATATTATATTATATAAATTCTTCGTTATAACCGTCGATAGAAACCTGACTGTTAATCCATTACTTCTTTTTTTCCTCTTCATCCGAAAAACAATTCTCCAGGACTCTGTATAGCTGTGCTCGTTCGAGGACAAAACTCAGATCAGACAGGCAGGGAGAGAGAGAGAGAGAGAGAGAGAGATAAACGAAAATAATCCAAAGAATGGCGCAAGGGGGTCTGAACGAGAAGATAACTCGAAAACTTTCCTGGCGCTTTATAATCTCTTTCGCTTGTAATTTCCAACAGGATAATAGGATAGAGTTACCTGACTCTCGGCCATCTTTTATACGTCACGGCTTTTATTCTCGTCTTGAATAATATCAGGCGCCTAAATACCGGCAAAACGAAACATTACTTTTAGGCATAGGGTTAACCGTTCCGTGAAAATACAGGAGCAGCCCGATACTCATCTTGCGGTAGAAATTCTGTCACTTAACTCGTGGGCTAATGTCACGGAAGGATGGCGAGTATCAGCTGGTTGGAACGGCTGTGGCTGCCACCGCCATTAATCCGACAAATCGAGGCGAGCGTCGTTCTTCCCGCGTCCTGTTGAGAACCCGTCGGCCGGGGCGTGGGG